CCCCAGTCAGACCAATAACAGGAGGCCGAGCCGACGAAGGGGGGCGATGGAGCCAAGCTGCGGAGGAGCCACAACAAGTAAGTTAATTTATGTCTGTAAAAGTCCTACAAATTAATTTGCAACATGGGGAAGCCCCAACGGCTCTGGCATGCCGAAGGATCCGAGAGTGGGACATAGATATCCTACTAATACAGGAGCCTTGGACATACCAGGGCAAGATAAGAGGGCTAGGAATGGGCGGAGGAACGGCCCATTACTGTGCCTCTGTCGATACCAGCCCCCGGGCGTGTATTTATACAAAAGGCATGAAGGTCTTCCCTGTCCCAGGATTCTGTACCAGAGACCTGGTGGCGGTAGAGATCCTCATGCCGTTAAATGATCGCACCCAGGAGGTAGTAGACTGCTCAGCGTATTTTCCGTACGAGACAGCTGCTCCGCCTCGGGAGATCGAATCGTTAGTACGATATTGCGAGGAATCTGGGAAGAGCCTTCTCATCGGCTGTGACTCGAATGCCCACCATATTCTGTGGGGCAGCCGGGACACGAACCCGAGGAGAAGTGCTCTGCTCGAATTCCTCACCACCAGTAATATGGAAATCATAAATGAAGGCTCAGTACCTACTTTTTTCACGCCTAGGCGGCAATCTGTTATAGATCTTACTCTATGCACTCGAGATATGTTGACCCAGGTTCATTCATGGAAGGTGTCACAAGATGAATCTCTATCAGATCATCGACACATTCTGTTTACGCTGGGCGGTATAAGCGCTCCAGAAGAAGAAACATAAAGGAACCCTCGTGCCACCAAGTGGGACCTCTTTCGGAAGGAACTCAAAGGAAGGCTTGTGGGTTTGCCATCAAAGTACGGGAGTGAGGCCGAAATAGATACAGTGGTGTCGTATCTTAACAAGGCCATCACTTCCTCGTACGAAAACAGCTGTCCACTTAAAGACAGGGCTACCAATGCTAGAACGCCATGGTGGAATTCAGAAATAGAAAACCACCGCAGGCTCACAAGGAAGCTTCTGAACAAAGCGAAACGCACAAACGTACCGCAACACTGGGAAGGATATAAGTCTGCCCAGAGAGCGTACAAAAAATCCATTCGGCAAGCACAAAGAGACAGTTGGCGTGCCTACTGCAGAGAAATAAACACAATTTCTTCAGCGGCAATGATATGCAAAGTTCTCTCCAAAGAACCGGGAAGAGGAGTGGGCGTGCTGTCAGATGGTCGAGAAACCACAACGGCAGAGGAAACATTGCAGCACCTCATCTCCACACACTTTCCGGATTCAGAAATATCCAACGAACCACCTTTGAGGACGAGCCCAGTGAGAAGAACTCACATGGACTATCAAACGGCGTCAAAGGTGGTTACATACGAGAAGGTGAGATGGGCTGTAAAGACATTCGCACCATTTAAATCACCAGGGGAAGATGGAATATTTCCGGCCCCCCTACAAGAGGGACTGGACACCATCATTTCCCTGCTTATGAAGATATTTCGGTCCTGTCTGGCTCTGGGCCCCTTACCAGTAGGATGAAGATCGGTTAGGATCGTATTTATCCCGAAACCAGGGAAAACAGATTATTCCGATGCCAAAGCGTATAGACCCATCAGCCTCACGTCTTTCCTCATGAAAAGACTGGAGAGGATGATATCATCTTGTCCATAAGATAGATGGAGTTCTAGCTGGTGGACGCTCAGCCATGGGAGTCTTTCTAGACATAGAAGGAGCATTTGACAATACGTCATTTGAATCAATATGCCATGCCGCGGAGAGACATGGGGTCCATTTAAACTTGACCAGGTGGATTAGGGCCATGCTATCGCAGCGAGTGGTAAAAGCAGAACTATGTTGGAGGTCGGTTGCTGCCAAGGTATCAAGAGGATGTCCTCAAGGAGGGGTTTTATCACCACTACTATGGTGCATGGTAGTAGACGAGCTCCTCATAGATTTGAATAAGCCAGGGCTATATGCGCAAGCATATGCAGATGACTTGGTAATAATGGCCCAAAATCAATCGGCGAACCGGCTAGGGAATCCAATCATGGAAGCCCTCAATGAAGTGGAACAGTGGTGTTCCACCAGTGGCTTGAGAGTCAATCCAGAAAAGGCGAACTTGGTATTATTCACTAAGAAACGCGAAATAGGAACACTCCCTGAGATATTTCTCTCGGGAAAGTGTCTCCAATATAAGAGCTCATCAAAGTACCTTGGAGTTATAATAGACTCCAAGCTCACTTGGAATGAGCACATTGCAAACCGCACTAAGAAGGCTGTATGCTGCTTCTGGGCATGCAGACGAGCCTTCGGAAAAACATGGGGTCTCACACCCAAGACCCTTCACTGGATATACACGGCAGTAATACGCCCAACACTTACGTACGGGTCCATTGTATGGTGGACCAGTACCAATAAGGGCAAGACCAACAGAGAACTGGATAAAGTCCAGCGACTGGCCTGCCTGGGAATAACAGGTGCTCTGAGAACGACGCCTACCAGGGCTCTTGAAGTTCTGTTAGGTCTGCCGCCTCTACACCTGTTCATACAACACGAAGCCATGAGAACTGCTTACCGACTCAACGGTGCAAACCAGTGGGTCGGAACAGAAGCAGATCATGGACACTTCCTCATATGGAATAAGGCAAAGGAAAACTGTCCCATCCTCATGATGAGAAGGTATAACACCTTGCCAATTCTGAACTTCAACGAAGCCCCAAACACTGTCATCTCTACGAGGGAAGAACACAACACCTGGCGTGCCTCCTCCTAATGAGTCAATCTGGTACACGGATGGCTCAAGATTTGGGGGCAGTTCAGGTGCAGGGGTATACAATGAAGAAACAGGGAAAGAAATTTCAGTTCCTTTGGGCGAATATGCCTCAGTGTTCCAGGCAGAAGTACTTGCAATACTCACCTGCGTCCAAGAAAACCTAATTATGAGAGGTCGTAGACCAATCACTATATGCTCTGACAGCAAAGCTGCAATACTGGCTTTGCAATCCAATAGGATCACATCTAAATTGCTGTCCGAGTGCAGAAAAGCCTCGGAAAACCTGGCAAAATCAAGAAAAGTCAGCCTCATGTGGGTCCCGGGACATTCGGGAATACCCGGAAACGAGGAGGCAGACAGACTGGCAAAGATCGGTTCAGGACGGACCTCGGTCGGACCGCAACCAATCTTGGGAATACCAAATAGCCTGGCAATGTCATCTATATATAGAGGAACAGCTGCAAAAGCAATTCCTCAAAATATGGCAGGACACACCAGGAATGAGACAATCCAAGTTCCACATAAAGGAACCTTTGAAGAGGCTCGCAAAAGAGGTTTTATTCCTAAATAGGCGAAACCTTAAAATGGTAGTGGGGCTCATAACGGGGCACAACCACCTCAATAGGCACCTAGAGCTTATTGGGATCAAGGATGACCCCCTTTGCAGATGGTGCCTGGAAGATGACGAAACGTCATCACATGTCCTCACTGAGTGTCCAGCACTGACGCATCAGAGGAGGGCTGTCCTTGGCAACATAATTTTGAGGCCAGAGGACGTAAAAGAGATTCAGCTGAGGAAGCTGCTGAACTTCTCCAAGGCAGTCGGCATACCCAGCTGAATGTCGTTACATGTGGGCGCACAATGGGCCCAAATAAGGAGGCCCACATGCAGGGGGTTCACCCGCCCACCAGTGCTTCGAAGAAGAAGAAGAAGAAGAAGATACAAATTTTCACTGACAAGCTAGTGAATTTTTCTTTCAGGCTCTCTGATAGGAAAATTTCTCAAACGCAGTGACATTTTGAGAAAAATCATCCTTACTACATGTATATTGAATTAATAGCCATATTGTTTTTTGTGACGGGAAAAAAGTAAGGCATTTCATCGCTGTTGGCAGGTTATAAAATGTCACTTTTCATAAATTACTTTTTTCCGTGGGAAAAAAGTGAGTACTTTTTTCCCGGATATATGTCACATATATATACACTGTTGATGGCTTTTGTTGTGCTATAGTTCCGAAAAATGGGTCAATAATACCGTCTCCGAGAAAGAACTGCAAGTCCTTTTATCTTCCATTCGACTTCGCTGTTACGTATATTACTAAACAACCGCTGGATTCGCAATTTTTTTGAAATCAAATCACAGAATTAGACTGACAGAATTGACATCAGATATTTGATTACCTAAAGAGAATGATGAAGATGCCTACAACGCAGGTTGAATTGTTGAAAAAATTATTGAAATCCCCGATTTTTTGGACCTCTGAAAACGAGGCGATGATGTGACGTCAAAACCCTAATACTGAAACAAGACTATTCCAGACAGAGATGAATGATACATGATTTCTGACAGAGTGAATCAGCGCGAGATCACAGTTGAAAGAATTAATATATCAGTTGCCTCAGTCTCCGTCGGGCGTTTGGTATTTTCTTGTAAATATGGCGAGATGAGGTTCTACAAGCTTCTAGAACAAAAGAAGGGTACGGAAGATCATTCGAGAACGTTCGAGGAGCAAAGCCTGCCAAGGGATCTGATATATAACGACGGCCGGACAACTGCCGTCAGTCAGTCAAGCAGCGAGTGTCAGAGAGACAATCATATCCCGCGTGATATAAATCATTTTATATTAAATGTAGTCCTAAGATTGATATAAATTAGTGTACCTTGAGTTAAAATGAATCAGTTCAAGAATAAATATTGTCGTGTTCGCTTCTGCACCCGAATAACGTAACAATATCTATATATCCTTTAACAATAGTGTACCATGACATTTGCATTTATCGATGTGCTTGCCAGTGCGCCAACCAGACGGTATACGGGCTTTGCTGTTTGGAGAATTTATAGGACAGCATAACTCTGTGAACTGTAATGATACTAAAATTTTTATTATCGAACTGCAGATTTGAGTCTAAATATTTGTTTCAAAACGTGTACCCCAAGATATACATTTATGAAATCAAATATCGATGATACCTAGCTCAGTGATGATTTATTATATACTCACCTCAATTTTATGTTTCATGAATAATTTCGCTTTATCATATTCATTTTCACAACTTTCTTTCGGCACATAATCAGAATATTCAGGGAAATATTCGGTCATATTTCCTCCCTGCTGAATTTTCCGTTTCAAAACGTCCTGTTTGTTCAAGAAAACTATGAGCCCAGCATCTCTCACGAATCTGAAAAATTAATCAAGGAGTAAAATTTGAAATATGTTTGTAAGCCGATGTTGATTTGATACTCGATTTCATAAAGAATTTCATGTAAGTGAGTATATTTCATTGATGTTCATCATCATATTCGAAGTTTTTGTAGTAACCCCCCTATCCCCGATGTGGTAGAAAAAAGTGAGAATGAGTCAGATCCGTCATTTTTATTTCTACTCCAGAATTTTCAATATATAGGACTACTATCATACTTATTGTGATACATTCAATTCCAGATACATCGGTGGAATGCAATTGGGAATGGATCAAGATTCACTTATTATCTGTGACATGCGCTGTTCGACAATAGGTAACCGTTGAATCACCAATACTTAATTATTATATGCTAGCCGCTGAATATCAGCGGGTTTTAGCTCGGCTGTCTTTTACAGTTGGACAACCCATAGGTCCACCAGACTACATGTACAGACTTTTTTAGAGTTGTAATGACAAAAGCCTAGGGAAGTTTCTTGTAAACGAAATATTTAAAAAAAGTTTACATGAACATGGGTTCAAAATGCTTCGTTTTCGAGATATAGGGTAGGGTGTTCAATGAGTTTCCCAGCAAACATGTATCGCGCGGGCCTTTAGACGCCCTCCAAAAACTGCCGACAGTCAACATCAGCGGGCCACAATCATGATACATCGTCGGCCCGGCTAGCCCGTGTCGCACCGGCCGACTATCTACCGACACTATTCGGTTAGAAATAAAAAAAAGATATAGTCGGGAGTCGGACTCGAACTTGCGATCGAACGGATATCCAATCAACTGTCAGATGCTTATACCACTAGGCTACTGCGAAACTTGAAAGATACTATTACGAATCCATCAGTCAACAGAATTGAAATAGTACAATACTTCAATTATATTTGATATTTGATCATATACGATATACCTATCATAACTTGTTGATTCGACGACGTAGAATAGGTTTAGTCTGATAATGTTCTAGCCACATTACTTTTCCAGTGTTTGATCTATTACTGTGAATCAAATATTTTTCGAATATAGGTAAAGAGCTGAACTTCGCATTGGAGCATCATTGTTATAATATAGGGTAATGAACAAATATTTAGCTCAAAATCATTACCACAAAAATGGATTGGTAGACAATAACGAGTTTAATTATTGTTATATAACATATATCATTATTCTTGATGTCGGACGATAGTTTGCTGGGATCAATCATAAAACTCACCAACTTTTTCTAAATAATATTAATATTATCACGCCGTTTAACAAATACCTGAAGACAAGTGACAGACAACTGACGCGATCTACGGACACAGAACTAAAACACGAATATAAATTAGCAGTACTACCAATGCTCAAAAACCCAGTGATGCCAACATTGCGTTTGGTTCAGTTACCACTGACCTGTAAACAACATACATACTGCGTCAAAGCGACATCGGCAAGATTGTCGGGAATTTTAAACGGGCAATTTCTGGCTGAATAACAAACATCCATTATAAACATGCGTACGTTCAGCCATGGCGGCAAAACCGATGTCGTTTCAACATTTTAACGACATAGGTGTGCCGCTGCCGACAACTAACCGCAGTTACCAGCAATCGGCCGCCTATTTACCGCTCAATCATGTTTGCTGGGTATCATTATAATCTTGAGAAAATATTTCTCACAAAATCTGAGGATCGTATACATTTGAGAGAGGGTATTGAATTTTATGTCTTCTTCGTTTTCATGAATAATAATGTGTCATATATATTTTGATAATATCTCATTATTTTCATTTTTCCTCATGGAATTCAGAGATATGCCAAAGTATGCAATTGTATATTTTCCTCGAAAATGAAGCAATATACGCAAAAATAGCATTCGTCAAAAATGTATTTTCAGTTAGTTTATGAGAAGAACTCGAAAAGAAACGCAAAGTGACTTTCAAAAAAAAGCTGACTTGCTCGATGGGTGTTCTCCTGGAAATTCTGGATCGAATCTAATTGGTACAGTAAATGTTTGATAATTGTGTGAATAAATCATGAGAATATCATTCGAATCCATCTACGCGTTTTCAAGATTTCAATGAAAAACATGTTTTCAACTTGGAAACGAATCATTTTCGGACCTATTTCATAATATGAACTTTTCTTCATATTTTATTGAAGGAAATCGCCCCAAGGCTTTCTTAACCACCACTCTGAAACACCCTGTATAGAGTGCCTGTCCGTTTCCCCCTACTAATTTTTGAACTACCCGGTAACATCGCAACGAAATCCAGAGGCCTCGTGATTCTCAACAGTTTCATCTTCACTCTTGAATTCAATAGTTTCCGGAAAGCGACATTTTGGTCATTTCAAACCCAACCAAAAACTTGAATATTGTTTTTCCTATAAGTTTGCGCAGGAAGAAATGAAGGTGTCACTAAGACAACTAGTTTTTTCCTAAGCAAACTTGATTGGAAGCAAAATTCGATATTCCGGTTGGGTTTGAAATTACCAATTACCATTTTCAAACGTTGATATTCCGAAAACTCGAATTTGGGAGTAGTCAGCTGAAACTGTTGATTATGAGATTTCGAATATAGAATCACATAAGGGGTGTTTCATGAATAAATTGAAAAAGGCGCGCAGCCGCCATTTTCAAACTTTTGACTGTCATATTCCAAATAGACAATTATTTGTTACTTCCTATTTGGAGCCGCCAAATTTCGTTACGATATACCATCAGGTGATTCAAAAATTAGTAGTGGGTAAAACGAACTTTGGACGAGCACAATATATACAGGGTGTCCCGAAATTACTGAAAAAGATTCTAATCAAGGATTCTAGGAAAGAAAAAAGTTGAAAAAGTGTACATGAATAAGGGTTTGAAAATGGACACTTTTAGAGATGGAATATTTTCGTAACCCTCTGTGATAAAATAACCGAATTTTGTTTATGATCCTAACATTTGGAGTCCTTCGAACAGCGGATTGATCTTTCGAAAAACTATATAATATATGAATATTTCTTACTATTACAGGAAGAACAACATCATTGAATTATTGTATTCTTGTACGAATATTGTTGGCCATATTTTAATCCACATATGTTATCTATAGATACAAGAAAGTGATCTGTCCTTATTCCACTAAAGGAGTATCACGTGAAGAAAACAACATTAGGGTGTATCTCATTCATTCGAATATTCAGCGCTAGGGATCTCTCGGCTCTGACCAATTAGTTTTTTGTAACTATTTCAATTTCCCTTGAGGACCTCTCAATATTCTATGTGAGGCTATCAGCTGTTACCTAGACTATTTTGAATTTCGACTTCCACGTGCCATGGCTGATGAATTTAGGAGATCAGGCATTACGTGAGAGTTGCCTAAAGGAAATTACAACCTTGAGTACATTGGCTAAAGATGATAGGACGCAAGAAACTTATTTTTCTGAATTCGATCGGTTCACGCAGATTCTATACACACTGAGTTTTTGAAATACCATGCAAGTAGTCTCCCATTCCTGTTCGCCGTCTCTAATGCAGATCTTGCTGCCGAAGACGTACATAAAGGAGTATTTTACTAAGAACTCTTATCACGCAGGAGCTATATATTCGATCCTTTCTAATATAATCTTGATCAATCGCTTGTTGGCCAATCGTCTTTCGATAATATGTCGAATGTCCAGCTACCTAAAATCGAATTTATCAAATTTAGTGGCGATTTTCGGACCTTTCCATCCTCCAAGGATATGTATGATGCTTCAGTAGATTTCGATGATTCGCTTAAAGCTATCGAGAAATTCAAGTACCTGATATCACGCCTATGGTAGCAAAAAATCATAAAACCTGTCAACAATATTTTGGTTACTTGTTATTCCAATGAACGCGAGCAGGTCAATGCCTAGATTGGTTTGTAATCAAGAATCATGCTTAAATCACTTCCATTAATCCGTCGGCATTACCAAAACTACTGAATACATTCTCCGTTTACATGCTATTGACACGTTAAGATTCTGAAACTGCCCAATCCTTCGAAAAACTACAGGGATCCACTGGAATTCAATCTTATGAAACTATTTTCGATTTTTCAAATCAACGTGGTACGGTATTGGAATCAATGCAATATGCTACAACCTATGAGAATAAGGAAAATTCAACCAATCATCTGTCCGAATTCAATAATTCGCCTAATTCTACCTTCAAGAGCAACACCGCACAGCTACGAGCCAATCGAGAACCTACTAGTTTTTCCAACTTCAATAATTTTTTAGTTCACACTGATAATAAAACTTATCATAAATGTGTCTTCTGCAATGAGAATAATTTACTATTCAATTGTCCTGCATCATGATCGAAAGGTTCCGAATCTCACTAAATTCATAAAAGTGCGAATATCTCATGAACTATCAATATTTCACTGAGGTCATATTGTGATATTTTGGTCAGTCTTGAGATGTACTATCAGCCCTCCGAAGGATGTTCTTTGAGTTTTGGGACACCCTGCAGATACATTCATATTTCAGAGATTTGTTTGCATTGAATTCACTCATGAATTGAATCACTTTGATGGAATATGTATCAGAAATAATGAATTGTTACTCACTGATTCCAGTAAATATCCTCGAAGAGATTGAAAGATTCCTGGAGTCTATTAATTTTGTTATCTTCTCGTAAGGTCAAGTCAAAATCACTCGCTGCTATCAAGAATAGTATCGTTTCTATCCCTGAGAATATTTTTATCCACTTCTTCCTTTCTCCTCTTTGACCTCCAACATCGTACATCCAAAATTCGGCCATGCCGCCACCAAATGATTTTGGTACTTGAACTTCAAATTCTATCTTACTTATGGAAACCGTCTTTACTCTGCAATATAGTATATCTTCAACGGTTGGGATATAGTCTGTTTTTCTTATTATGTGCAATCTATCTAAAAAGCTGTGAAAATAAGGAATGATTCAATAATAGCTATTTCATCTACAAAATGAGTGAATTGTCGTGATTTTTTGGAACTAGAGCGTGAGGTCTAGTCAGAATCAATAATTCCAAAAGTTTACCGTATAGCCCTAAGAGCTAAGGCCTGGTTTTTCGTAAACTCACGGAAAAATTTATAGCCTATGTGATGTGATAGAAGTGTTATGATTAGACTTGATTAGTAATGCGATTTTAACTCTCAATGTGGGACTTTATGAACACTTATGAAATCTAAAGTTTGCAAACGATTCATTTTTCTTGTTCTAGCCAAAAGAGTAACAAATGTTTCACGTTCACACTAATCTGCATATATTATGTAATCCCAACTTTCAGAGCATACTATTTTCATTAAGAATTGCGAAAGATCATCAGCAATTTGTTTTCGAGAAATGTTGACTCCACTTGATTCAGCATCGTTCAATTGAGTTGAATTATGGCATTCCATAGGAATTTGATTGGCAACAAGGTCAAAACAAGATGTGTCATAGTATAAAATATACCATTTTCATGTATATTTCAGACAAATTCTGACATGCGGCAACGTTTTAATTACAAATGTTGGGAATCATTGAAGTTTCTGGAAGTTATTCAAATTCATAAAACGAATCAGTCACGAGTTATAATAATTTATTTATCAAGGCAGAAATAATATACAGTAGTTGAATTCCGTTATGCCTGGATACTTGAAAAGGGCCATAAAACCTTATTACGACAACAAACTTCCACATATTCTGGTCGATTCTATTCGGATCTTGTTATTGCATTACAAAGCGAACAATTTTTTCATGATCATAATATATAACAATATCACTATGTAACTCTGTATAATGTTCGGACAGTCACTGCAAGATTGGTTATCAGTTCAAGTGATAGCAATATTGTTGGAAAATGGAGAATTTTTGAGCTGACAACACTGTTTATAACTCATTTGTTGCGTGTTAGGTACCTTTATTGCCATTATCTCATGAATGAAAATAGTATGATTATCTAACCTTCTGAATCAGTAGGTTCTGCACTGACATTATTCAAGCAAGATAGCTCGATAAACTATCCATCAGGCAACTCAAATGATGATTTTTTGGTATGTCGAAATTGTAGTCTCATACTTCCTTTTCAAATTGGAACTTCAAGGATAGGTTTCCAAGTACAGTTGGTCACTAAGTGAACCAATATATTTATAATCTCTTGTCTGAATTTTCCAATAATTTTTCTACAAATCGGAACTTCGAGGAGAGGTTCTCGAGTTGTTAGTTATACACAAGTGAACTCTCATATGTTTTCAGTCACCTATTTTCTGGATTTTCAACACTTGAAAAACATTGTAGTGCAACCAATTTTTGTAGTGATACGTTTAATAATTCTCATAAATTATGGGGAAATTCGATTTTTATTTTTTGAATTTACCACCCTGTATCTCGAAAATGAAACAATTTTGGACTGAGATGAGTTGCTTCGAGTTGGCTTATTCACATCGGGAATATGTGATGAGATTCCTGATCCTGATACGAATGTTTCCTTCATTTTCCTTAGCTTCACGAGAGTAATGCATCGAATATTTCTACAAAGTTATCGAAGAGAATAACAACGATTATTTCTTGATTTCCGGAATATTCATCATATTTTCATTTCTGATGATATTTGGGTCGAAAATTAATTCTAAAAAAAATTTATTACGGAATGACTGAAATTGTGCCAGAAACTTCCTCGACAAGTTCCTACAATATTTTTCCCGTTGATTCATATCATGACCTCAGATTCCTGATAATAATTATTATACAGAGTGAGTTATTTTCACAATAACTCAACATAGAAAAAAATCACATTCCGGTCCTGATATTGATTTCGTTCAGAAAGCTACTTTTGTTGAAGCCTTTGAGTTCATTTCGTGTAACAAATTTGACCCCATCGGGTAATCTCTGTATATAACATGGCAGATTGAATTTTGGTCAGATTCCACAAATCACTTTGTATGTCAGTAACGAAGTGATTTGGACATTTGTATATGGCATTCTGGCAGGCTCAATAACCTCACAAGTTTTGTCGGTTTCATCTCTGGACACACTGTATATATATTTATATTATATACCATCCTTTATCATTATACACATATATCCAAAATCAGAAATAACAGTATACGTACTATTCCGCACTGTCAATCAACTGATACTCGTTCGATCTTCTGAAGGTTTTTTTGACACCTTCATCCCTCCAGGCAATGTCTACTTGATCAAAGTATTCCTGGAAGAAAATAGCTATCTTCAATTATCTCTGTGATTGCAGGTAGAACACATTAACAGTCTTAATTCATCAGAACCGTTATCCGTAGGCGCCGTATTGAAGCAGAACGGTATTTCGTCAGAATGGTACTCTACCAGAATCATGCATGAAGAATCACAACATATTATCAGAGCATGGTATCGACATTGAAATGAAGTTCTTCGACATTCTGATATTTTGTCAAAATACCGTTGCGATGGAATACGGTTCTGATGAACTACTGTCGCTATAAAGTAAGGTTCCGATAACAATAGGCTATGAAATTATATTTCAATTCTGACGTTCATATTATTTATAGTGAAATTCTAACAGTTTTGAATGAAAAAGCGCGGAACGACTATGGTGCTCTTGTCACAATGCAAGGTGTGTATCTTAATGAATCCAAACATCCAAAAACACTAACACGTCATTTTTATTTCCGAACTTTTATCTAACTAATACCATCCAGTGACTCTAGGCGTAACGTATCATTCGGTAATTTGCAAGTGAATTTGATCACTTCTGTTCTTGAATTGTCAACGCCGACCTTCCACTCGTCATAGTAACGTACGAACCCTCTGTCCAGATGAATTTGGACCTGTGTCCTGGCGATGTCCGAGTCGAAGGAGTGCGCATTTAATATACCGTATCATCGAAATATTATGCAGCACTAATAGACGGAGAGCCGGGTCGGATCATATACCTTGTACCCCCGGACGATTCTTGAGTTTTCTACAGGAATGGTCATGAAAACTTGAAAACTACCTTTTTCTCTCAGACACATAAAAAATCACTAGATGTGCATTTCAATGAGTACAACCAGAAAAGCCCACTGTGCCGCGTCCGATCCTGCCGAAACCCATTGCATAGTGGCGTTTCAGGGGGTAGCAAAAACGCGTTAACTACCTCATCGCCCCGTACAAAAAAACCATTGACAAAAACTACAGATGAGGTCTGGATGAACACAAAAAAACAACCAGTATTGGATTCAGGGGCAGGGGCTATGGGCCTGTCAGCCCCTGTCAGTGAATTTTGAGAGGTAGTAGGGAAAGAGGAAAAAAAGCAAGCAGCAATATACTTGTCGTGTTTTTTTTCTCGGGATAGGTACAACAAGCATGGTCTCTGGATAGTACTAGAACCTTATAACAGATAATGCAGTTGCACCCTGGCCTTTCGAAACAAGTTATTCAGGAGGACGATATCAACTTCGGCTAGGTCTGGTGCTTTTTGTGAGCGCGCATCACCCACGAGACGAGTTGTATTTTGGACAGAATCCAACAGTTTCAGGGTATGTTTGGGTGCTGCATTCCAAATATGAGAACAGTATTCCAGGACAGGTCGGATCTGTGCCTTATAGATCATAAGCAGCTGACTGGAAGTGAATTAGCTCCTGGCCCGATACAGAAAACCAAGTTTTTGGGATGCACTTTCAGCAATTGATCTTACGTGATTTTACCAAGAAATGTTTCTGCTGATAGTAATACAAAGCATCGAAATGAACGTCTTCAAAGGTATGGTTACTCCTGACAAGTTTATGTTGGGCACAGTGACATCGGCTTTTCTAGAGAAAAGGCATGATAATTTCAATTCCTGTTGGATCATAAAATGATTTTTCCAGGACTCAACGTGATAAGGGCACTGCAGGGAGATCCCTAATTCGGGTCGCTACGACCGCCATGTCATAGGTAAGGACATTGTCTTATTGACCATCGTATATATCTGGCGAAGTCATGTACACAACGAATTTAATCGCCGACCTGTAGCGAGCCGCGCGGGAATTTTCGTTGCTTTGTTTCCTGTCTCTAGGTGCTTACTTCTGTGAAGTTGCACTTCAACTCGAATCAAAACGAGATATTTTTCCTAATACTCACATCAGTATATTCGATAGGTTCTTTTGGTCCCAGCTGTAGAATATATTCTACGGCGGTTTTGGATTCCTCCTTTTCTAACTGCTCTGGTGGATTGATAGTGTTCATGTGGCTTAGAATATCGTATATTGATTCACGAATATTTTGTCTGATATTTGGTATCTTCTCCTTCTTCTCACTGAAACAAAACAAAACTCGTTTACATGGTTTCACCTCACATCCACATATAACTTCAACCCATGGAGACAATTGGCAAAATAACAATGACTTTGAACGACATATTCATATTTTGTCCCCGGATTATATCGTATGTATCAGACTCCGGTTATATGTACTTTGGGTAATGCAGATCTCGCCTTCGAATATACGAATTCTATAATACTCCGGCAGTGACCTAAATATGCTGACTGACATTGTAAATATTATTGATATTCTCATTCTCATGTAGGATGAAAAACATCACGATCAACAAGAAATTGAGGTGAAATCTCTCACAAGAACATCGTAGGTAATTGAGAAGGAATTGGACCTTGCATTCGAGTTCAATTGTACTTTCTTCATCATCACGATAGGATTTTGTATTGAGTACTTAAATAAGTTCCTTTAATTCAAGTTCGATATGAACATGAACATCATCGACTTTAAAATCAAGAAGGCACTCCTGATAACACTGTGTAGCGTTTTCGCAATATTTTGATTCGAAATTAATGGAGTGATAGCTGATGCTGGTATAAAATAAGTTTTTTTTAGAACAATTACCTGTTCATTCAGATTCGACATATTGATCAACCAAATGAATACAAGTAGAAAATTGAGAAAAAATTTACTATAAACATAAAATATTGAATCAGTTAGAGTAAGTGTTCCCACGAATACAGGATTCTATATTTTTTTCTTAGGAATGATACATCCTTCTAAACGGTTGAGGATCAGCTGTGAGCTCATTCAAGTGATGTTGAATCCTGTCTTGCAACTCTTGACGTTAATTCACCTCTGCAGCATAGACTTTTCAGTCAAGATACAACAAAACTGTGTTATCCATGTTTTTAGTCAATTTTTTTCTTGTGATTCATTGTTCAATCAATAAAAAGGTGATTGTTTTTTTTATTATACTTACTAACTCACATATTATATGGATTGAAGCAACATCACTTCATCATTTTCAAATCGAGATACTCCAAAAACGAAAAACAGTATCGAGTTTAATCAGGAATACCTTATTGGTGTGAAATTGAATGATGTTGAAGATTCCATCGATTTTGGAAAGAAAAATCTGAACTCAGAGAAGTTATGTTTGAAATTACTCGGTCCGAACCGTGTAACTATAGCACCCGCTATGAGAGTCAGATATAAAAGGAAATTCATACGATGTGTCAGCTTTCAAAACACATCCATACAGAATTCAATCTCAATATTGCCAGTAGTTTCGACATGATTGTGAAACATGTGTGAAAAAACCTTATTTTGCTTCTTTTGCTGTTTCACCTACCTAGCAAGGGGGTGTGGTTTTTCGAAACACCCTATATAATCAACTAGGATCTTTTTCAAGAGGCATTTTTTGAAGACAGTGATTGCACGAAAGAACTCTCAAAACATCACCTCTAGACCAGGGTCGATGATTTTTCAAACAAAATTTTACTAGAATAAAACCTATTGAAAAAGGAATATAATATAACAGGAATAGAAAAAAAAATTAATTACGTTCGATCTGAGGTCGGAAAGTGGAAGGAGTGAGCTCACCTTTTTATGTCCCGAACACAATGTTAGTTTTTTATTTGAATTTATTTTTTATCTCATTTTGACTCAATATCGGAAAAACATCCTGATTTCAAACCGGAAAATCTCGCATCAAAATATCAGCTTTTTCGAAAATATCGACGAAAGAAACATACACAACTATGGTAATTGTTAGAAAATGCGAAGAAACAAAACTAGAATCCAAAATTTGAATAATCATTATGTTCAATTCTTTATTACTTCAGGTGTTATAATATTTGTATCCTACGAAGGCCTGGAAGGGACGCGATTTTACTAAATATACTGTACGTTAGCACATACCACGCCCACCGTTATCTCATCTTCAAAGTAGTTTACTAAGGCAAAACTCAGAGACTATTTATCCTCAACGAACTAACCTATCGCTGATTGCAATATTTTTGAGGAAAGAAAACCGAATGGAGTGTAGAAACACATTGATTAATAATATATTTCAAACGTTGAGTTCTTCAACAAAATTGAATAAAATGAGACTGTTTATCCTAAACGCACTAACCTATTTGACTTGATTAATTTATGAAAAAGGAAAACCAGAATGAAGTAAAAAAACATTGGTGAAAAAAAAAGTTGCAAAAAAAAGTTCAAGTTCACAGCGATTCGAACCATGAATCTTCAGACTTCGACAGCGCTGACCAGCAGACCATTTGGGTGTATGAATTTACTGCGTACAAGAGATTGACAACGAGAGAGCTTCAGTCGAATTCGTGTCAAAATCATAAAAAGTGTATTCTTGCGTTGGAGCACAGTGCACAGTATATTTAGTGCGATGTGCTGACTCCGAATATATCGGTAATGTTTGGAGATATGACGTATTATGGTGGGCGTGGTTTTTGCTAGCGTGCAGTGTATTTAGTAAAATCGCGGAAGGGACACATAAAATAAAAATAAATCAACTCTTTTACATCCAAAATTCCGAGTTATAACTCAGAATTTCAAAATTCCGTGTCATAACTCGGAATTTCACATTAAAGTTCCGACTTCGAATGTTAAATTCCGAGAAATAGTCGGAATTTTGAAATTCCGAGTTATAACTCAGAATTTAGAAGAGTATATTTTTTTTTATGTGTCCCTCCAGGGCTTCGTAGTATCCACTTATGAAAAATCTGGCAACATTCAATCAATTTATAATATGTGAACGGTATAGAATCACTCGAATCACTTGGATTTCATCAGCACTGGAGTGGCAGAATCGATTTATTTCCAGTTTTTTTTTTTCACTTTCTGTCTCTCGTTAATTCGAATACCTACCTAGGAAAAATTTAATATTTTGGGAATTTCCGTAACTTGAGTATATTGCTATGTTCAATATAATATGTATTTATTTCGATAAATCCTTCGCATCACTGCATTACATAATGATCATTGGAAATAGAATTTGAACTACAATAACAACGAAGATATCTGAAGCATTCCGGAAATTTTGACGTTCATCCATAAATCGAATTTAACAATACTTCACAATACTGTCATTGATTCGTAAAACAACTGGGTTTCAGATTTATTCGTACAATTTCAGTTCCCAATGAATATCAGCTATTAGTATTGAATTATTCCATCAGAAAGACAAATATCGCAAAAACCGGACAGTATTTAGATCTCATATAATTTTACATAGATGGAATCGAAAAATAAATATTTGATGATATTTTGAGTAGAACTTTCCACATTCTGTAATTTTCACTTATAATATCACGAGAGCTTCAATTATTTCCGGAAATTTTTCAAGAACACGAATATTTTGAAAATCCTCCCGAGTCGAAGACGAGGAAGAATTTTCTAAATATTCGTGTTCGAAAAAAAATTTCCGGATATTAATCGAAGCTAAAGTGGTAGTCGGTAAGAAAATTTCACACCGAACATTTTCGATCTATTCAAAGGAATTTCAACAATACTTAGATGATTTAGTTGAGAATGATGGTTGTTTGTGATGAAATGTAAGAACTAACGTTTAGTAACATTTATGAATTTCGAATTTGCAAGTATACAGCTACATAATATTATAAATAAACTGTTGATAAATGATTTTTATTTATTGACTTATAGAATAAACTCGAAATAATCTGAAGTTGAATCCTCCCCAGGGAGGAGGAAGAAATTTCCAAGGAATTTGTTTAGTTGCTATGGTAACTATACGAAATACAGGCTTCAAATTGATCAAAAATGTTCGTTGTGAAATTTTCCGACGTATTATGCTATGTGCTGTGTTGTTGGATTCAAGGTTTCATCACCATTTGTGAACGCACTAATAGTCTACATACAATAATTAGTGCATGAAACTGATTCGAAACGTATGAATAAACAAATTATGGAAAATCGACAGAAATACTTTTCGACTCACCTTTCTGAAAATCCATTCACATGCAATATTTTCATTTGTTTGATTATGGTTGACTTTCCAGATTCCCCAGTTCCTAGTAACAGGAGCTTCTGGGTCCCCATGAACTTTTTTGAATATAGTTCATGGTCCTTATCTTCCTTCTTTTTACTTTTGCATCCCATTTTTAATCTTGATAGGTACAAAACTTGTATTGAATCGAATGGATCGAATGAGATATTTCAATAATACTCATCAGAAATCATTGATTATATCACTATCTAGCAAGACATAGATATCGCCTTATCTAATACCTACCTATCTACTATTTGGATATGTTAATTTGAAAAAAATTGTGAAGGTTTGGAACCTGTTTTCTCTTATCGTGTTACAAATTTGAGTGGGTCTCAGCAGTGAGATACCGAGTGTACTTGTTAATTGTACTCAGCTCCTGATTTTTAAATCTTAAGTAGGTGATAGGCTCAACTATTCATCTTGTCCGACCTAAATCATCAAGTCAAGCAGTTCGTATAGTGTATTGTCACGATAAAATAGATGGTTAGTTCATTCATATCGATTTATAAGGGGTTTTCTTGGCACGATAGTTTGCGAGAAGTGATATTCGAATAGGCAATAATAGTTTAGGGGTAACTGATATTCAAAGGTCACAATATTTATTATACCACGAAACATTATGAGTGATGTGATTAATATAAAAGGATCACAATGGATATAATGGCCATATAACAACTTACATTATAATTACCATTACGACGGGTTCTTGTCAAGTCAAGAGTAGCCCTAGACCAGATTAATTTCGGAACCCCCACATCATTCAATATTTATATACATGCATGTCACGAGTTTGAAATACAGTATATTCGTGATTTCGGACCATGAGGGTTTTATAAACATAAAGTTGATCAAATCATCCGTTGACATTGAACTATGAAAACTGACCAAGGAACTCATGAAAAACGTGCGAGTCTAATAAAATGATCTATATAAATATTGGATGTGAGGGTTCCGATGTTAGTCTAGTCTGGGGCTACTCTTGAATTGACAAGAGCTCGTTGTTATGGTCATCATAATGTTATCAGATCTTTATATTCATTGTTGTATATTCATATTTGTCATTGCTGCCCATAATGTCTCATGTTATAATACAAATTGGTATGTTTGAATATAGTCTCGTACTTTCAGTAACCCCTAAACTATTAGTGCCTATTCGAATATTACCTCTCGCAAGCCAAGCAAACCCCTTATAAATCTATATGGATGGACTCACATCGTGGACGCGCCTGAGCTTCCCTCCTTGAGTCACATTCCTCATAATGGACTCATAATTTCAATAATTTTTTTCAATCATCAATTCAAGTCAAATTTATATATTTCATCAAGGCACTAGTGGAAAGGGTTATTCGAAAGTAATTCAGTAAAGCAACATAAATTATGGATGTTAACAAAGTATAACGAAGTCATTCATATTCGAAATTTTACATTTTTCAAAATTTTCAATAGTATTGGGCTTGAAAACTTAAATAACAATGATTCCATTTCTTTCCAAATATATGATATGAAGTAACAGACCGGACTCACAAAGTTTGAAGCTTATTATAGTTGAAGAAATGATTCAAGTATTCAAGTAATGTGATGCCAAAGCCATGGATACCTATATCAATTATAAATATAATAAGTCATTCACAACGTTTCTATGGTTTTATAACAATACGGAATGAAAACAATAATACCAAATCATGGACATGCTCGATATAAAGCATAATACATCTTAATATTAGTGTGAATGCAAATAATTTCAATAATTCAAGTAATAGTTGAGAATGTTTTGATTATATATATATATATATATATATCGACTAGTAAATAGTGAGGTTTTGCAGCAAGTAAAAGAGAACTCTTTGAAGATTATCCAAGCTTTCGGAATTTAATTGATTCCATCATCAGGGCATACTACAATAATTATTGTCAGTAATAATATAAAAGTCAAAATTAATTTGTACTCACATCTACGTGAGGATGATTACTATGATGTTAACAATATTTTCAGAAATGAAATGTGATACATCATCCACATTTCATTTCTGAAAATTATTGTTAACATCATAGTAATCATCCTCACGTAGATGTAAGTACAAATTAATTTTGACTTTTATATTATTACTGACAATAATTATTGTAGTATGCCCTGATGATGGAATCAATTAAATTCCGAAAGCTTGGATAATCTTCAAAGAGTTCTCTTTTACTTTTTTTTTTTTTTTTTTTTTTTTTTTTTATCGCTTGGTGCGCACGAAAGGGAATCCCTATAATGTTCAAAGAACATCGTGCGTTCCTAGGGAGGATAGGGATAGGAGGTAGGTATTGGATTTTTTTTTGAACTTCTGGAGATTATATGTTGTTGGGAATACTTCCTCAGGCAATGAATTCCAGAGCCTAGCCGTTCTATGGATGAAGGAGTTTTGATAAAGTGCTGTTCGACATCTTTCGAGGTTGACAACGAAAGGATGTGCTGCAAAACCTCACTATTTACTAGTCGATACCTAACTAGTCAGCAACGACTACCCTTCTACTATATATATATATATATATATATATATATATATATATAACCTTCCAAATATTGAAAATACTCTCAAACGTTGGTATCTTTTACTACATTTTATCATTCCTCCTGAAATGGAGTATACACAAATATGATATTATTATGTTATGGAAATATGATATGGAATGATCTAATTGAGGTCCAGAATAATAATGTGTATTTAAACTCTCAATAATGCGATTGTTACTAGGTTTCAATAAGTGGAAACCGTTTCAGTACCGAATGATCACCCTATAATTCAGCGTCTCTCGTGGTCCTAGCCAAACCACATCCAGAGAAGTAGCTGTTTGGTGGATATTCTCAAAATTAAGAAGTGTTATAGTTGAAATTGTGCACTATAACAGTACATAGGAGGGAATCCTGGAAGATGTGCCACACTAAGGCATGAACGATTGACCTCACTGAATATATTTCGTCCTCGAATTGATAGGACATGAAATGATGTTTTCATGTGAAAAAACTAGTTCGTTTATGATGATTATGTATGTTCATGAATTTTGATGATGATTATAATGATATTCACCCCCGGGGATGATTTTCTAAAAATGGAAAATATTTGGGAATTGGTATTCAAAGAAATACACAGTCTAAATTGCAGGCATTTTGATAAACTCGCTAATCTGAAATAATCATGAACTCGGATCTCGAATGTAATTTCATATATAGGTATACATAGTTAGGAGTGTGTTTGATTGAATGGTTCTATAGGTGAATACCTACCTACTATGATGAATCATTATTTCGAAAAATGATGATAATAATAACGCATGAAAGCACGAATTGATAGATAGATTATTATGGAAATCAATCAGTATTGATGAGAATAGTTTCAAAATATATTATAATAGATAATACTTCTTTTTCTTTGAATGAAATAGTAATTAGGGTGAAGGGTTGCGCAAAAAAACATAGATTAGTCCTAGTACCGTAGTCACTATATTTGTAATCATAAGTATGAATGTTTCACTAAACAAATAACGTAATTAAGGAATCTACTAAGTTTGAATTATATATACAGCGGATCCCAGCATAGGTCAATCATTTATTGAAACAATATAAAATATGTTTCTCATAGTTATCATGGATCCTATACATTCAACTTCTTAACTTATTGTGTGACACACTTCAACCTATATTCGTTTACTGATATGAAGGCTTATGTAAGTACTACCTATCTCATTTTAAATAGAATATATAATGGATATTTTATTTTTCTTATATATCAACGGATCCACACAAAACAATGCACGCACACTGAGCAGTGCTGCACTGACAGACAACACTCATCAACATATCAGACACCCAGGGGGATGCAGCCACGCAGCTGAATGAACAAATCAAGCGCTGTTCTACTGTACAGCATGATTCGATGGTATCTGCTTAAGTGGGAATGCTATAAGTTGTGAATAGCTTCTGAAAGTTCGACGATGGGATTCCACGAATTTCGTTACACGAGATGCCGGATCAGCCTCTCATATGAAGGAAATTCATCGTTCCTTTCATGAACCATGTCATCTACCAGGTATCACAGCAACTGCCAAGGTAGCTGGCAATTCTTCTTACTCAACTGCAAACTACCCTCAAGAGACAGGCCAATACTAGGAGTCAGGATAACTTGAAGCCCGAATGATCCCTACTTCAAAGTACCAGTCCAGAAAGAAGGAGCTCGATATTCTTTGAAGCCCAAAAAGAGTTCATCCTCATAGCCCGGACGAGGATACCTTCAGAGTCGAAAAAGGATCCTGCCGAAATTCCCACAACGAATGAAGGATGCCCATCAGTCGTCATTCGCTACCCCAAGAAGGCAGCAGTTTCCTTTGTTCAGCTGCCAACTACCTCTAAGGACAGTCTAGGAAATCTTAAAGCCCAAAAGATTTCATCCCAATGCCCAGGACAAGGATACCTTCGAGCTCAAAAGAATCCGAAATTCCTATGTCAATTGGAGGATGCCATGCCCAATCGTCATTCGCTACCCCCAAGCCGCCAGAAGTCTCATTTGAGAAGAGTCTGATTGAAATGCTCCAGTTGAATAGCCAGTGCCGGACTAAGTAAAGGTGTGAGTGTGCATTGTAGACACTGAAATTTTGAGTGTGTGAACACAATTTCTAAGATGAATTGTTCTCTGTCATTTCTGTATTTTATGAATATGGTCTCCTCGATATCTTTAGGTAGGTATCAATTTTGAAACTGGGGTCCAGTTTTCTCTCAGAGGGGGGTGATGTCACGAGTAGAACATACGGTATACTAGTAATTTCGAATCATGAGAGTTTTATAAACATAAAGGTGATCAAATCATACGTTGACAGTGAACTATGAAAACTGACCAAGGAACTCTCATAAGAAACGTGCAAGTCTGATAGAATGATGTATATAAATATTGGATGTGAGGCTTCCAAAGAGGGTCTGGTCGGAGGCTACTCTTGACTTGACAATAAGTTGTTATTAGGTCTTTATATTTAGTTTTGTTTATTCATATTTGTCATCGCTACCCATGATGTTTCATGCTTCAATAAATATTGTTATGTTTGAATGAAGTCTTGCACTTTCAGCTCCTGAACTATTAGTTATAGTTAATAATACCTCTGAAGTTGCTCGAAAGCCA